CAAGGTAGGCCACGGAGGTCGAAAAGTAAGAAGTTTTTTTGTACAGATTCAATACGGTTAATATGGACTCCGAATTGAGGACTCCAGACGCATGAACCATACTCCAATATAGGGCGAACTAACGAAGTAAAAAGGGTCTTCGTTATATAGGGGGAATCGAATTCCTTCGACCATCTCTTAATAAAACCGAGCATGCCTCTGGCTTTATTAACCATGCACAAAATATGTTCAGAGAACGAAAGTTTAGGGTCTAAGCGAACGCCTAAATCATCAACAAGAGATATTCTTTCAAGAGCGCAATCATTTAGCATATAAGTGGCAAACTGGGGAGTGACACGTGAAAATGTCATCAGCTTGCATTTAGAGCTATTGAGATGTAATAAATTAGCACGACACCATGCTTAAAAGTTATTAAGATCCGATTGCAGGTCTGACTGGCAAGAGCTGTCCTTATACTGCAAGCATAGTTTAACGTCATCAGCGTACATAAGTACTCTAGAGTTCGTTAGAACCAGCGGGAGGTCATTGATAAACAATGTAAATAGCAGCGGGCCGAGGTGGCTAACTTGTGGGACGCCAGAAGTGACTCTGAGGAATTTGGATAGAGCATTTTTAAACAGAACCTTTTGAGTTCTGTCACTCAAAAACTCAAAATCCATTTAAGAAGATCGTCTGGAAACCCGATTGAGTCAAGCTTCCTTACAAGAAGAGAGTGATTAACCGAGTCAAAGGCTTTACTGAAGTCTGTGTAAATCACGTCGGTTTGAAAGTTACGTTGGAAACCTCTAATATCGAAAGAGGTGAGTTCCAGGAGATTTGTAGTGGTCGATTTTCGCCTCATAAAACCATGCTGACATGGAGAAATTACTGATCTGCATAAATACTGCAAGTGAGGAGTAATTACATTCTCGAAAAGTTTTGGAATTGCCGACAACTTAGAGATTCCTCTATAGTTGCTGGCGTCCGATTTGCTACCTTTTTTGTGGAGAGGAATGATAAATGATTCCTTCCAAATAAGGGGAAATTCTGAGGTTTCTAAAGATAAGGTAAACAATTTCAGAAGGGGATTGCACAGAGCTCCAGCACAATACCTGAGCACGCAGCCTGGTATTCCATCGGGACCCGGTGAGTAAACTGGTTTTACACGATGAAGATCCGAACTAAGGGAGCTTTCGGTTAAAATAGGACTGAAAATTAGGTTCGATTTGGGCAAATTAAAAGAGTAAGTCTGATCTAAGCTATTTGAGGAACAATACGTAGTTTTGAAAAACTCGGCAAAGAGATCTGCGATGGCCTGGTCAGAGTTTGCTGTAGCGTTCTTGAACGAAAGCGATGAAGGATGTAAGTTGGGTTTTCGCTTAGTGTTAACAAAGTTATAAAACTGTTTCGGGTCCTGCGTAAACTGAACCCTACAACGAGTTAAATAACTTTTATAACACTGCGCGTTAAGCACGGTGAAATCCGACCGAGCACTAAGATATCTTGAATGAACAGTGAGAGATCCGGTGCGTTTATAGCGATTATAAAGCCTAGACTTAACGTTTTTTAGGCGTGTCAGCTCTTTGGTGAACCAAGGTGGTTTACTAGAAACCGACGGATAGGCTAAAGGAACACACAATGCAAAGAACGAATTCATGGCACTGTAAAAAATATCCACGGCGGACGCCATGTCAGTACATCTGTAAAGTTCAGACCAATTAAATTGGGAAATCAAGGTATCTAGCCTTTGAAAATTTGCTTTAAGAAAGCAGCGAACTTTAGTCGCTGAGCAACTCAAATCAGGTTTGGTCTTTACGACAGTCCCCAAATCGATGGTCACTTCGAAAGTAGGATGGTAAGGGTCTTCGGGAAGCGTCAATGGATCGACTCTTGTTAAGTTTACACCTACAGGATCAGAGACGAAACACAGATCTAGTAGGTGATTTAAAGAATTTACGACATGGTTAACTTGGGACAACGAAATGTCAAGCAAACCATCTATGAGGTCATGCTGTACCACAGTTTGGAGGACATTGGGCGTACCATCTGATGGCCAACGAGCTCCAGGTATATTGAAGTCACCTAGAGTTACTAATTGGTCTATATCCGAAAGCATGTTGGAAACGGCCTGAATTGCCGAAAGGTGTTTCCAATAGATAGGCTCTTCAGCAGATGGAGGAACGTAAGAACAGGTGATATAGATAAAACTACCTGGAAATGATAGTTTTACACAGATAAATTCAATATCTGTGAGGTCGTCAATTTGAACCAGTTCGGAAATAAGGGTGGAGTCAACGGCAGTTAATAATCCACCTCCTCGCTTGGAAAGACGGTCCAATCTATAAGTTGTGTACTTACCCGAAAAAAATTTCGGAGCTGAGAATCTCCGGCTTTAACCAGGTTTCGGTAAACACAATCACCTGGGATGCAAACGAAAAGCTATCAGAATATAATTTAGAGAGCTTGCTGCGTAAGCCTCTAGTATTCTGATAGGAAAGTAGGAGGGAGGTATTTAGTTTTTTGGCACTGCCGTGACGCCCGCAGTCACTGTGGTTTGTGCCGGCCGTGAAGGCCGTGTTTTCTTTATCTTTACCTCGTACTCCTTGACTACAGCGTGCTCGGGCCAGAAGTCACCAGAACAAATTGTGTCAAAAAGATCGAGGGAGACACTTATCTTGATAGATGAGATATCTCTGGGGTATGAGAAATTGAATTTTTCCACTTTCACACTTTTGGCTTGTGTTTTGCTCCGTATATGAGCTAGTACATCTTCCGATGCGAGATCAGGGGCAAGCCGGGAAACAAATATTGTTTTTAATGGTGGAATAGCGGTGAGGGTTTTTGGTAACGCAGCATTACCGACTTCTACTAGTGGTTCAGCCCTATTTTTGCCCTTTGGGATAGCCGAGATTTTTTTTGAAGTCTCCGGAGTCAGAGATTGAGACCCCGCAGCGGACTCAACTATTAATACTGGCGGAGCTGCTGCCATTTCTGCCCCGGCACCTTCGAATGCCGAACCATTGGAGTTGGTGTCGGTGTCGGGGACTGTGCCGAGGGAGTGTGCCAGATCTTTGGTGGCTGGGGTTCGCCCAATTGCAGCCGACCAGGAGCAGATTTTTTCCGCTTTGGCGACTCACTTAACAGCTTCATGCCGCTAAATTGAGCGTCCAGCTCTGTGAACAGGTCGTTTGTTTTTCGAAAATTGACCCTAAGTTCACTAAATCCGCGTTTGGTTTACCGCATGAAGGATAACATATCCTTCTCCACCTCACGACAGGCATGGCAACAATAGCGCAAGCCATTTTTGGCAGAAATTGCGTCAGCGATACGGCCCGTTAAGCTTAGACACTTAGCGTGAACGACCGCATCGCAAAGCCAGCAGTGAAGGCTGGGCTGATCTGCCAACACCTCTTTTTGGCAGCCTTTAATATCGCAAATAAAATTAGAGACCATTTTCACAAACCTTTAACCACTGTGCGCTGATAAGCAGTACCGAACAAAAACAAGAGAGCGGGAGCGTAAGCGTGGGTGAGCAGAGAAAACAAACGAAAGCTTGAGCCGCCTAAGTGCCGCTAGAAGCAAATAAACGGGACAACACAAAGAGGGGATAAGAAAACGCAAAAACACAATAACTAAGGGTGATTAATAATATAAATATTAATTAAACACTGAAAGCCACATGCACATGCACTCGCGTAGCGAAACGGTAAAATTACAAATTGTATTTTAACAATCTAAAATTTGGACCCCGGTGGTTTAATGCAAAACAACAAAAAGTTCGGAGCGCAAAACAAAAACACGACCGTTCGCTATGAAAGTCAAAAGCTTATTGATAAACATTTATAATAAACATTTAAACAAAAAACTTTTTTACCTAATTTTTTGTTGGCCTATCTTCCCAGAACCGACTTCATGCGGTCCAAGGTTTTAGTCATATAAAACTCGATCCGAGCAAAAGTAAAATTTTTTCCAAAACAAACATTCACTTTTGATACATACTGAATCCAAAAATAATTTTTTTTTTTTTTTTTTAATTGGGGCACTAGAGGGTTAACACCTCTGAGTCCGTTAATACGCTTGGAATGAGGTGGAACCCTCAGAGTGATGCATTTCATTATAGTTTGGAGGATTCGTTTCAATCCTTACCGCCCACGAAACGCAACATTTTGTCCGTCACAGCTTGTTTGCTTGCTTGCTTCAGGAGCTTTGGCGACAAAAACTAGATTGGGATGAATCAGTTTCCATGAAATTGCATACAAGTTGGAACGAATTTAAGCAGAATTTATCAGAGATTGACAAGATATCCATTCCTCGATATATCTGTCTGTCGGCCTATGACAGTGTTCAAATCCACGGATTTGCTGACGCATCGGGCCACGACTACGGCTGTTGACAAATAGGTTGTCGAGACTGCTAACCGCCAAGTCACGGGTATCCCCGCTAAAAACAAAATCAATTCCAAGGCTCGAATTATGTGCAGCGCATTTGCTTGCCAAGCTATGGACTCAAGTATCTCCTTTGCTACACAAGATAGAGTTGGAGAGCGTTAATTTCTGGTCAGACTCCCAAGTCACTCTATACTGGTTAAAGAGGGATCCGTCTACTTTAGCAACATTTGTCGCGAATAGAGTTGCTGAAATCCAAGAACTCTCAGAGAATATAGTCTGCCGTCATGTGCCTACGGAAGAGAATCCGGCTGACTTAGTATCACGTGGAACAGATATAGAGGGTTTTTTAAGTACTCTATGGGAAAACGGACCTGAATTCTTACTCCAGACGAGTGGCCTAGTTCTCATCAGATTGAGGTATCACAGGAGTTACAGTTGTCCGAGAATAAAAAAAGCGTAGCAGTATGTTCCGTCACAAAAAACCAACCGAATGTTTTTATTGAACTTGTTGGACGATGTTCGTCATTTAATAAATTATTGCGGATCATGGCATACGTAAATTGATTTATTCAAGGGAAGAAGCGTCAACGCGATGTTATTTCGGCCAACGAACTGAAGCTGTCGTTTCTTATGATGGTCCAAGTCTTGCAAAGAATTGAATTCGAGGCAGAATATGTTAAGATAGAGAAATCTGAAAGTTTGAGTCCACATCTACAACGTCTAAATCCTTTCATACACTCCAGCGTAATAGATGGTGTAAAATTTCAATTAATTCGCGTTGGGGGAAGGTTATTAAACGCGTCAATTCTGTATGATGGAAAATTTCCACTATTACTCAATTCTCGTCCAATCGCATCGCCTGGCAACGATCCCAACGATGAAGAAGCGCTGACACCAGGACATCTGCTGATCGGTCAGGCTCTGCTTTCGCTGCCGCACGAGTCCGTCACAGGCATAACCTCCAGCAAGGCTGGCTGCGGGTACTTGAGGCGGTGGCGAATGCTGTCCGCTATTAAGCAGCAGTTTTGGGACAGTTGGTCCAAAGACTACCTCGTCAGCCTGCAGCAGCGCAACAAGTGGAGCACCGGATGCAGCGATGTGGAGGTCGGACGCTTGGTGCTCGTACACGAGGACAACTCGCCCCCGCAACGGTGGCTCACAGGGCGCGTGGTGGCAACAACAACCGGCAGGGACGGTAAAGTGCGTGTAGCACAAATCCAGACGTCAGGAGGCGTCATCAAGCGCGCCATCCATAAGTTGGCATTGCTGCCAATAAAAAGCTTATCGTTTGCACGCTTGCACTCAGCCTATCTGAATAGCCGAACGCATAGCTTTCATAGCGAGGCAATTTCGGACGCTGCTCGTGTAAAGTAGTAGCCGATTAACCTTTGGAACTGCTGGCTGTGCCAGCGCAATAAAACTTTCGTGCGACTGCAGTTCTTTTCGTCTTCCTTTTACTTTGCCTTCGAGTGGAAATTCCCCAGCTAAGCCGCTAGTTGCTAGTCGCCTAATTTTTCCATTTATTGGTCCGGAAAACCCTCACGGATTAACAGACAGTTTTCTGACTAATCTCACTGCACAAAAAAAGCTTTTGATTTTCATAGCGAACGGTCATATTTTTGTTTTGAGCTCCGATTTTTTGTGTTGCTTTGCATTTAAAACCACCGGGGTCCAGATTTAATTTGTTAAAATACAATTCGTAACTTTGCCGTTTTGCTGCGCGAGTGCTTGTGGATGTGGCTCTTAGTGTTTGATTAATATTTACATTTTTATTAATCACTTGATTTTTTCCGTTTTCTTGTCCCCTTTTGTGCTATCCCGTTTTAGTTGCTTGTAGCTGCACTTAAGCGGTTCTAAGCTGTCGTCTGTTCTCCGCTCTCCCACACCCACTCTCCCGCTCTCTTGATTTTTTTCGGCACCGCTTATCTGTGCACCGTGGTTAAGGGTTTGTGAAAATGGTGTCAAATTTTGTTTGCCAAATTAAAGGGTGCCAAAATGAGGTTTTGGCAGATCAGCCCAGCCTTTACTGCTGGCTTTGCGATGCGGTCGTTCACGCTAAGTGTCTAGACTTAACGGGCCGTATCACAGACGCAATTTCTGCCAAAAATGGTTTACGCTATTGTTGCCATGCCGGTCGTGAGGTTGAGAAGGAAATGTTATCCTTCATGCGGCAAACCAGAAGTGGATTTAGTGAACTTAAGGTCAATTTTCGCAAAGCGAATGACCTGTTCACAGCGCTGTACGCTCAATTTAACGTCATGAAGCTGTTAAGTGAGTCGCCAAAGCGCAAAAAATCTGCTTCTGGTCGGCTGCAACTGGGCGAGCCCCAGCAACCAAAGATTTGGCACACTCCCTCGGCCCAGCCCCCGACACCGACACCAACTCCAATGGTGTTAAGATCCGGAACGGCTAAAGATTCGGCAATCAAATGTAAAATTCGGCGATCGAGGTAAAAATAATGAAAAAATTACCTTCAAAGCCGGCACAAACCACAGCGACTGCGGGCGTCACTGCAGTGCCAAAAACCTAAATACCTCCCTCCTACTTTCCTATCAGAATACTAGAGGCTTTCGCAGCAAGCTCACTAAATTGTATGTGTGATTGTGTTTACCGAATCCTGGTTAAAGCCGGAGATTCTCAGCTCCGAAATTTTCCCAGGTAAGTACACAACTTATAGATTGGACCGTCTTTCCAAGCGAGGAGGTGGATTATTAACTGCCGTTGACTCCACCCTTATTTCCGAACTGGTTCAAATTGACGACCTCACAGATATTGAATTTATCTGTGTAAAACTATCATTTCCAGGTAGTTTTATCTATATCACCTGTTCTTACGTTCCTCCATCTGCTGAAGAGCCTATCTATTGGAAACACCTTTCGGCAATTCAGGCCGTTTCCAACATGCTTTCGGATATAGACCAATTAGTAACTCTAGGTGACTTCAATATACCAGGCTGCGTGCTCAGGTATTGTGCTGGAGTTCTGTGCAATCTCCTTCTGAAATTGTTTACCTTATCTTTAGAAACCTCAGAATTTCCCCTTATTTGGAAGGAATCATTTATCATTCCTCTCCACAAAAAGGTAGCAAACCGGACGCCAGCAACTATAGAGGAATCTCTAAGTTGTCGGCAATTCCAAAACTTTTCGAGAATGTAATTACTCCTCACTTGCAGTATTTATGCAGATCAGTAATTTCTCCATGTCAGCATGGTTTTATGAGGCGAAAATCGACCACTACAAATCTTTTGGAACTCACCTCTTTCGTTATTAGAGGTTTCCAACGTAACTTTCAAACCGACGTGATTTACACAGAATTCAGTAAAGCTTTTGACTCGGTTTTTGACTCAATCGGGTTTCCAGACAATCTTCTTAAATGGATTTTGAGTTATTTGAGTGACAGAACTCAAAAAGTCACTTCTGGTGTCCCACAAGGAAGCCACCTCGGCCCGCTATTATTTATATTGTTTATCAATGACCTCCCGCTGGTTCTAACGAATTCTAGAGTACTTATGTACGCTGATGACGTTAAACTATGCTTGCAGTATAAGGACAGCTCTTGCCAGTCAGACCTGCAATCGGATCTTAATAACTTTCAAACATGGTGTCGTGCTAATTTATTACATCTCAATAGCTCTAAATGCAAGCTGATGACATTTTCACGTGTCACTCCCCTAAATGATTGCGCTCTTGAAAGAATATATTTTGTTGATGATTTAGGCGTTCGCTTAGACCCTAAACTTTCGTTCTCTGAACATATTTCGTGCATGGTTAATAAAGTCAGACCAATGCTCAGTTTTATTAAGAGGTGGTCGAAGGAATTCGATTCTCCTTATATAACGAAGACCTTTTTTACTTCGTTAGTTCGCCCTATATTGGAGTATGGTTCATGCGTCTGGAGTCCTCAATTCGGAGTCCATATTAACCGTATTGAATCTGTACAAAAGAACTTCTTACTTTTCGCCCTCCGTGGCCTACCCTGGGATGCTGATGAGAGACTACCATCCTATTCTAGTAGACTTTTATTAATTAACTTACCCTCGTTAGCTAACCGTAGAACGATGCTTGGTGTCGTATTCCTTAATAACTTAATAAACGGTGATGTTGAGAGCCCCTTTCTTTTAGGGCAGCTCAATTTTCACGTTCCTCGACTAACATCTAGAACCCATATCCCGTTAGTAATAAATCACTGTAGGCGGGAGTTTGAAGCACAAGAACCCTTTAGGGCTTTATGTGCGGACTACAACCGCCTCTCTGATATTATTATTTGTAGTGATAACCCTTCTATACTAAAAACTTTAATACTTGTAGAGTTAGCTCGTAGTGTAGCACCGTGGTCTAATTTTGCATGCGTTTTTATTTATTTATCTTATTTATTTACTTATTTATATACAGGCCTGTTCTAGTTTCCACTCGGAAGTGAATTTGATAACATATGCGGATTTCCCTTTAACATAAGCGAAGGACATTTTTTTAAATTTCCCTTAAATTCCCAAACAAAATCAGCTGGTCGCTTTTAACAAAACAGTTTGCCTTGTCTAAGATTTGCTAAAAGGGGCTAATCAAAATTTGGCCCGCTGTAGTCTCCAACTCATAGATAGTAATTGTTCACGCCAGAAAGGCGTTTAATTTCGGGAGCCAGTGTGATCCCGTACGCTCTCCTTTTCTCTCCCTCTTCCTCCGGACTTCCAGTCCTAGAGCTTCCAATCCGCTCTCCCTAGCATAAGTTTCCTTTGTATTGTTTAGTACCAATTTACATCTTACTCAATAAACATCCCGACGCACGTCGAGTAAAACCCCGAAAGTTCTACGTGTTTTTCTTATCGAGTGCATTTCAGCTTAAAGCCGCCCCCCTCCAACATTTGGTCCATCAGAGCCGGATTTCATCCATCAGCAGCTCCGGTGGCTTTAACACCGCACCAGATAAGTCCATTACATTATTGCTGCCGGTCATACAGTTAGGTTTTGCGAAACTCAATTCGTCTTAACTTCTCTGTATGATTATTGTCTAAATCCAAGTCCGATTAATCCGACACTACGGCAGCATAATACCTTCCAAAAATCCTAAATAATTCGGTATTCATTTTCTACATTTGTGCCAAAATCCAAAAGTGTGTGTTTAAATAAATATATAAATGCAATAGCCACAGTGAGAATTTAATTCCAATAGTTCTCAATTCCTCTTCGTTAACTGTGTTCCCGCTAGCATTTATTTACATTTACATACATATTCAATACAGTCCACTCCACAAGACTACAATCGCTGTCAACATTGACATTTCCCCAATTCGAGAAATTATATCCAAATAATTTCTATACAAGATCTACGGGTTCCAAAATTCATAAAGTGTTTGTTTAAATAAATGCCTAAGCCACAGTAAAACTTTCCAATTACGAATTATTCTTAATTCCTTCTCGTTTACTGTGTTCCCGCTAGCATTTATTTACATTACATACATACTACAAATACAGTCCACTTCACTCCGAAACTTATATTTACAAATTTACAACAATAACTGTCCGCAGCTACTAAAATTACAAATTTATGTAATTCGTACATATATTTGTTGTTTTTTACTCCCTCGCTCTATCCTGAGCTGCAATACGTATTTACATACATACATAATCGTCTGCATACGACGCTCCGATATTTGGCAATTTTTTCCGCCTCTCCTTATCTCCGCAGTTTTGCACTTGCATACGACAAGTGCACAAATAGACACACACACGTATTGGTTCCAAAATACAGCACCGGTCAATCACATAAGTCCAGATCAATAAAATAATTTGTAAATTATTTTATATTAAAATTCCAACTAACGAATTAAGTTAGAAATCCAAGTGCGCTTCCGTATTCGCACTAGTGTGACCGTATATTATTCGCTGCTGACCGGAATTATTAAATTAAATTGCATATTTCCGTCTTAAATTCCAAGGGAGAAAATACAATTTTCCAAAAATATAATTATTATAGCAAAAATAATTATTACGAGTCCGATTGGTTCCTAAATTCCCAATCAAACTTCGACCCATAAATTTTAATATATATTTACATTACATTTTTGTAAAAAAAAATATCCAAAATGACTTCAACTATTTTGAACAAATTTACTTTGATTTCTGACCGTCTGAGGCACTTCGACTCTAATGTCTGCAATCCAGCAGCACCCACTCCATCCAAATACACCTGCCAAATTCATCTCGACCAAGTCCGAGCGCTATGGGATAAGGTCGAGACAGAGTACGAAGCTTGTTCAGAGCTAATTTCAGTTGGCTTCGAGGGCGCTGCAGACACCTTGCCTACCCTCAAGGCAAAATACGACGACACCTATTCCATTTATGAACGGTGTGCCGCCAAGTTCATGGAACAGATCGATA